AAAGAAGTCAGGGCTGCTGAAATTCCCTCTTCTAAATAGCTATTAAAGGTGTCAGACCTTTCTTTTTGCACCTTTATGTTTGAGCTACTTCCCTTAAATTACCAGTAACTACACATACAAAAAACAACAGGGATGGGGTCTCTGTGGCTCTCCAGAAGTTGGTGGATTACAACTCACATCAGCAGTCTTCTTTGTGGCTATTAAAGTTGCAGGATCTCAATCCTTGCTTCTCCCCACCTTCCTTATATTTAAGCTACTTTCCTTAGTTACTAATACAGTGCACCCCCCACTCACAAACCCTATAAATTAGGGAAGGACCAACCAGATGTTGTTAGGCCCCAACTTCCATCCATGCCACACGGCCAATGGTCAGCTGCATGGTGGAGTTGTTCTTGAACTCTCATAATACCTATTGCATATCCCCAATGAATGTCAATGGGACTTACACCTAATTCCTGACTGCTGAATTAAAACCTATTTAATTAATTAATTGGATTTAATTAAATATACAGTGGTGCCTCGCAAGACGAAATTAATTCGTTCCGCGAGTTTTGTCGTCTTGCGATTTTTTTGGTCTTGCGAAGCACGGTGTCGGGAAAGTTTTGGAAAAGCTTCAAAAATCACCAAAGTCTTCAAAAACCTCAAAAAAAGGCTACCACACCGCGTGCTATGAGTTGCTCATCAAAGTCAAGTCTCAACTGTATTAACGGTGTTAAGAAAAAGGAAACAAACTTGCAAGACGTTTCCGTCTTGTGAAGCAAGCCCATAGGGAAAATCACCTTGCGAAGCAGCTCAAAAAACAAAAAACCCTTTCGTCTTGCGGGTTTTTTGTCTTGCGAGGCGTTCATCTTGCGAGGTACCACTGTAGCTTGCTTAAGGATTGTATATGGTGTACATCCTGGACTTGATTCGTATGTTAGGAAGTAACCAGTAACAAAATTTGTTGCAATGACCGCTCCCCACATCAAATGGGGGGGGTGTGCCTTTTGTGTGGTTGCGTGCAGCCCCCCCGGATCCCACTGTGGCTCCTGGTAGTACGGGCTGGCTTTGCCCTCCCCAGGCTGGATACCTGGAGGTCTCTGCCTATCTCAGCCAATCGCCCACTCCCGCCTGGGGAGGTGTTTGCCACAGTAGGGGGAGGGACTCCCTGCCCACACACAACAGAAGGTGAATCTTACCTGCGAAGCATCATTTGGCTCCAGAGCTTCTCCGCACCCTGCCCTCCCTCAGTTAAGCTTTCTTTTGCAAGTTAACCTCTTCTCCACAGGTACGTGCTACGTCATGGTCGCTGTTGAAGGGCTGGAAAGGAATTTCCTGCATTGGCAGGTTTTGCCTTTCCCCGTAGCAAAACGTCCACAACTTTGGCGGTTTCAGGCCTGGGTGGAATCATTTAGTCTATCTTCCTAAATGGGGGAGGGCGTGAAAGCGGTGACCCCACGCCCCCCTTGCAGCAGTGATCCCAGGGTTCCCCGTTAAAGGGGTCTTGAGGGGAGGCATTGGCCATACGCCGAGAGCTTGTCATTGCTTCTCCCTGCGACGGCGGCAAAACGGGGCGGGCTCTCTGCTTGAACGTGCCTTATTTTTCGCTCTATAAGATGCACCAGGACCACCAGACCACCACCTAGTTTTGGAGAAGGAAAAACAAGAAAAAAATATTCTGAATCTCAGAAGGCCGAACAAGCCAAGAGGGAGCCGCTGTGCAGTGAAAGCAGCAATCCCTCTTGCTGTTCTGGCTTCTGGGATAGCTGTGTAGCCTGCATTCGCTATGGTATGTTCTCCAGAGCCAGCCCAATCCCCACACTTTCTGGATAACCCTGATGTCTCTCAGCTCCCCAGCCGGGGACTGGGAAGGATAAACGCCCAATGCCTGAGCCAAGGTCTCCCTACATCTGAAACTTATACAATTGTGGCCAATTTTAATCCCATCGCACATTGTCTTGAGTCATTATTCTGCTTGGGGGTCGCCTGGGGTTGGGGGGACTCCAACTTGCCACGCAAACATTACCATTCAGCCTGTTGTGCTCTATATGTTGTAACTATTGCATCTACGTAACAAGGGTATTGTGGGATGCGGGTGGCGCTGTGGGTTAAACCACAGAGCCTAGGACTTGCCGATCAGAAGATCGGCGGTTTGAAATCCCCGCGACAGGGTGAGCTCCCGTTGCTTGGTCCCTGCACCTGCCAACTTAGCAGTTCGAAAGCACGTCCAAGTGCAAGTAGATAAATAGATACCGCTCCGGCAGGAAGGTAAACGGCGTTTCCGTGCGCTGCTCTGGTTCGCCAGAAGTGGCTTAGTCATGCTGGCCACATGACCCGGAAGCTGTACGCCGGCTCCCTCGGCCAATAAAGCAAGATGAGCGCTGCAACCCCAGAGGTTTGGCCACTGGGCCTAATGGTCAGGGGTCCCTTTACCTTTACCTTTAACAAGGTATTGTATTTGTTTTTGAAATTGCAAGCCTTGCAGAAGTTCATTCTGAAGCAAGACCCACCGTTGCCAACGGGGCTTACATCCAAGTAAGCGTGTATAGGATTGCCGTTGATTCCTCGGTAAGAGCATGGTGCAGCACCCAGTTAATTGCCCTGACGGATTTCTTTGCATGCATTTTTCGCGGCCCTCCCCACCTTTACTGGAGGAATCAGCACTTAATAAAATAACATCAGGCACAGATGTTGCTCAGTGTGTTAAGTTCCAAGGAGGTGAAGTCAATTAGACTTCAGGTTTATACTGTAAATAAACACTACACTTGGCACCAGTGTGTTTAATAATACCAGTGGAAAGATCTGTTGGGTAATTAGTCTGACTGCCACCTTGGCACGTATTTTCCCCGGCGGAGAAAAGATCAGGCTGTCTTCGGCAAAAAGGACCCTTTAAAAGATTAATTTATTTCCAGTATATA